ACCATGCTGGTATTCGATTTTCAACCGAAATACCATCAAAGTCAGCTATAGCTGTATGAACATTATAAAAGATACCATCAACAGTAAAAACAAACGACAACTCGCGACTGATAAGAGCACCACAACTGATAAAACGAATATCAACAAACTATGCAATTGTCAGGAAAAAACGAACTTTTCCTACCTAGAGTTACTATTTCCCATACAACTACACCAAAAGACCAAACATCAGATTTCGTTGTGTACTCCCCTTCTCGCATCGATTCAGGAGACATCCATCGTATTGGCAGACGCTTCTAAAAACAACAAAAATTTCATTTTGATTTTCAGCAAATTAAAGTCATTCGCAGTTTTGCGTCCGAATAAATAGGGACAGAAATATAACACAAGTATTCTATACTGCAATTAATGAACCAATGTTAATGCATTATTTCATACAAAAAATAAACACCATCATTTCCCAATAAATCGTGATAACCAAACATTGCACGAGTCGGTCTGCACACTGCAACATGAAATATAAATCACTTACAGATGTAGTGACAGTTACAAATTACCTTTCCGTATGAATCCAAGTTCCCCCGCTGTCCGGATTTCTTGCCTATGTCAGATATTTTACATTTTTTGACTCCGTCATTTTCAGTGACGTGTATACTAAGACTTGAAAGGTCACCATGAATGATCTATGTTAAAGACAATATACATTAACCAGAGAATATGTTTGGATATATATATGTCTCATTACGTCATTAGATCTGCATATCTAGTTATGTTATTGGATGGATCGTGCTATTATATAGTGTTATTTTATATATGTTGAAATGTGTTATAGAGTATCCATGGGGTGAAATACAAATTCAAAAACATAATCGCGCGAAATACCTCTGATTGAGCAAGGTATGTCATCCCTTCAGCTATCTCTTCCGCAAATTGTAGCAACAATTCACCAATTGTTGACTTCTTGATATCCTTAGCGACATTGTCACCGTAATATATTTCTTCTCTAATGCTTCTCAAATAATGTTGAAGATGTCCCAACGTAGCGTATTCGTAAATGATATAGTAAGGGTCTGATTGGATAAGACGATATGACAATATTATTATTATTATTATGAGCCTTGAATGTATGGGAACGATTAGATTGTCATTTTACTTTTCGATATCAAAATACTACTGAAGATCTCACGAACTGTGTCAGAGGCCTACCATTCTGAATTCAGTACAGAAAAATCGCATGATATCAAGTTCTAAATAAATTCGAACTGTAGTGTTACGTTAGCGAAGTATGTGTCACTAACTATTGGACTTGTTCCCGTCAGATAATTCTTAGAGCACAAACTATGACGTTTCGACTGCGTTTGAACAAAAACGTACAGTTTGATTAGGCTTCAAGAACAAAGCAAGGCATAATGAAATACGTGAATTTAACAACCAGGTGATAGAGTAACACTTGATCAAGTTGAGCAAACATGTGGAATGTACCATGTTAGTAGTCTGATGTAAGTAACCCACACTGTTTTTGAAATGTACATACCATAATCGACGCAGTACCCTAGCAACGATATAATATTTGGGTGTGATGGTATTCGCCTAGTGGTCTCCAGTTCTGCCAATAACACATCTCTGTCCGCATTTCTTGCCTCATCTGTCATTACAGATATGCTATACGTTATTATACAGCCCAAGGATACATCCGAGATCAGAACAGCGTGTACGATCTAATGACTTTTCGTGTCTATATATGTAATACGTAATACACCTATCTTTGTGTGTTGTAATTTAACGCCATGTCCCATTTTAATGGTTATTTACGCGCTTCACAGAAATAACTGAACGAGGCGTCAACCACAGTTGACGCAGACACGACAAACAATCGAACATACAAACAAAAAACATACAAGCAATCCGGAATAGATGTCTGCAATGACACTGTGTACTACTAATAATAATGTTTTATAAACGTACCATGCAGCATTTTGACGGCAACAGTACTGACGTCACTGCTCACGCCTATCTTCCATGCTTTAGCCTTCATTACTTGAGTGTGATTGCCTTTGCCGATTATTCCCTCAAAAGCCAGATTGTCACGGGAAAACTCAAACATTTGAAATAAATCTGAAGTTATTCTGGTCGGTTTCTTGAAGTATAATCATCACAAAAATATTATAAGTCAACATCGTACATAATACATCATTCATCAGACATTCTAATCAGTCTAATTTAGCAATATATTTTTGTTTTCTTTTATTCATAACATGATACAAAATCCTTTAAAGTTTACTTTGGCGACAAATATATTGATTTATTCTGCCAGACCCAGTGTGGTGTGAATGAACGTTTACGCTATGAAAGCAACATACAAATGATCTACTTCTGATTTACCAAAATGAAACAATCACTCAAGAGTTGAACGAAATCACCCATCATGATATTCAAAATTGGAGCAAATGATGCTCCGTTTGTCAGGTTGAATTTTGACATTGTAATACGTCTTCAAGATGTAGTAGAGGTTATTGCTATTGCAATTGCATAACACATTTCTGAAGTAACAAATTCTTGAATCCCTCATAAACCATCGCTACAATTGTTTTTTTCTAGTTGAATGTATGCTTTATATACTCTTATAAGAGAACGTGGGAAAAAAGTAAAACCTCTACTACATCCTTAAGTTATATTCATGGTTGAAGCAGTTTCAAAAACTTGCAATACATATTTGAAATAAACATATATGTATACATTACCAATTCACTGCTGTTCATACTCATAGCGGATTTTCGTTTAAATGGATTCTTGGGACGTGACCCCACCTGTAAACACAGGGCATTGAATACGTGACATTGATACATACACAAACTCTATCATACAGTTCCAAATTATGGAACGATTAACTACCACTTCATCGTTCGGGTGATCGCGGGCTAGAAGGCGTCAAGGGGATACATGTAACATATTAGTTAGATAGTACTAGAAAATACGTGTATTAGCAAGACCTGATGCGATTATTGACATACCTGTATATGCCGTCAGCAAATTTTATCTAAAGCGAGTAATCAGCCCATGTGAACCTAATCAAGTGCAAATGTTTGTGCAACTGTCGGCAATTAACAACTGTAATCTTAATATTTAATTCAGAAATTGAGTCGCCGCGGTCACCGTTGATAAATACAAACCAACCCCAGAAGTGACATCATGTACTAAAAATAATGTTAACGGAAGTCATTATTGT